CCCCAAAACCCCAAAACCCCAAAACCCCTTTAAACCAACAAGATATTGAGAGTCAAAGTTTTAATCACTATAAAATTTGGGTTGTTTAAAAGCCGTTTGACACTAAAAATTTCACAGATTTTACTCAAGATGTAGAAAGATCAATAAGTCTTCCTCCCAAGGCCAAAGACAAGGGATTAGCTTTAAAACTTGGGCGTCTAAATATTCTAGAAATATATTTTAGGGTTCTTCCTTCTGATTCTGGCATATCTTTCCCTCTGTAACTTGGAAGCCTCTTGCGAAATCTTGGCTAAAAATTTCTGCTTGACCGGATCCTTGAGCACCGTCTTTACAACTTGGGGAGAATTCTGGATCAAACCTGCTTTGGCAGGGAATATTTTGGTCGCTAAAGATCAAATTTAGGCATACACATGCACATTCTTATCTGAGATTTTGAATTTTTCAACTGGGTTGAGATACTTGTTGACCTCCTTGTGATTTTTCTCCGAGGAATCACCTTCGCTTGCTTATTTCCTAGTAGTTGGAAATAGTAAGAATTCAGCTTTTATGTAGTCTAGACCTCTATTAAGACCTTTGGTTACTAATTCATTCGCCTTTGGGGGAGTAATCACTAACATGCTTTTTCGAACAAGTGGTTAATTCCTTGATATAATCTCGAACGTCTGTTTTTGAGGACAACTTTTGGAGAATTCGAGATAGTTTGTTCAGTTCTTCATCAGATTTATCATTACCCAACCTGAACAGATTAGGATGAAATTACCATGTTTTTATAGGTAAACCATTTTCCCGATGCTTGCTGTAGAGCAAAGGGTAGTTGTCAACGATTATGACATTATTTTAAGGGCCTTCCTAGCTTGCTGATGTCTTTATAATACACTCCTTTATTTTCAAGTACAGTCTTTCCGAGTCAGTACATGGCTGATGAGGTTATCCGCATCAAAGGTGTTGATCATGGCCTTTGCATAGCTTTTAATCGAAGCTGTGAAGATCACTATTTCATAAAACTTGGCCATTCTTGCTAAATTAATAGTTAGAGGACGGTTAAGTTAAGGGACTTATGTTGTTCTTACTTAGAAACTCTTCTAAGCCAGGCCGTGTGCTCATGTAATGCTTCGTCCTTGTTGCGCTATCTTGCTCGTAGACGACCTTTTGGTAGTTGAAACTCTTGGTCTCATCAGCATGGATGAGGGTCTCATCCAGGTCAAGTACTAGAGTCTTTTTCAATGGGTCGTGGAGCATGGGAAGAATCCCATTCTCAGCTTTCCTTGGAAGACTTCTTGGTCCACGCTTTGATTTAGACCTCCTCTTGGCCTTGTTTAGCTTGAATGTTCGAAGAGATTGAGATTTCAGGATCACTTTTGAATATGATTTTTGGTTTGTCTTGGCTTGGACCTATGTGAATGTTAATAAGGCTTAGATTTTATTAAGCTTATGGCATCGTTATAAAGCTCTTTTTCGAAATCAAGCAGCTATTTCCACTGAATCCAACTTATTTTACGATGAGCTTCTCGTATTTACGGTCTGATGAATGAAATTGCCTAAATTCTACTAAAATAGTCCAAGGAGCATGTATAAGAGGCTATTTTTCTTGAGGACAGCCAGGATTGTTTCGAATATGGGATACTGAATTAAGACTGGAACTATACGATGTAAGCTCACAAGGATTTATGAGAGGTTTCTTGTTCAGTCATAAAGCTAGATCAACAAAAATAGAGTCTATATTGTCTTACAGGGGTTGCTTTCATGTTAATATTTTTAAATGTGGTTTTTTAAGTTTTAACAATATTTAAACTCCCAAAAGGGGTTTTGGGGTTTTGGGGTTTTGGGG